AGTATTCATTGTATATATATATATATATATATATATATATATATATTATATATATATATATATATATATATATATATATATATCTGTACCCCGGAGGTAAAGGACACTATGTCCATTTTCTTACTTTTTCAGGAGAGCAGTTTTAACATTTTTTAAATTTGTAACCAGTAAATACTCAAATGTTTCTTATTTTTAACCAATATTAATATATTGTTATTGTGGTGTGCATAATCATTTTTCCTTCCTTAAAGTGTTATATACCTGCAGTTTACCGTTCATTATATATTTTTTTTTAAATGTGTTGGACATATTGTTTTTTACCACTAACAACTTTTTTAAATAATGTGACATCGCATCTTAAGGTTTCTACGAAATTAAAAAAACAAACTCATTAAACAGCGTATACTATTATTTTACTAGAGACAAATATTATAATGTTATAAGTAAAATTATAGACGACAAGTCTCAGAATTGTAAAGAGGCTCCATATCATCTTCATCTTCTTAGAAGTAATCGTTTGTGGCTACATCGCTATGTGTTAAATTTTGATAAAACGCATGATAAACGTATGCAGTATCCAAAAATTACACATTATAATAGTTATATTTTTAGTTTATCCATAGCAGTTATCGGTCCAAACGGTCATAGTTGATACCTCTTTTCTATTGTTCTGTACCCAGATGATTTCTCTTGCTCCTTTCTCTATAATAATAACTCTCGTACTTTAAGAAGGAATTGATATGTTGATGTATACTATTTATGGTTTCGATAAGAGTTTTATTGAGTGGCCTGTATCTACCTCTTTGATCAGCTTTTATTAAACCTCCTGGCTCAATTTTTTTCAACATATTCACTACTACTAAATTAGATTTATAAAGTGTGTTTAAAAACATAACCTTGCACACCTTCAATCGCTGATTGTTTACTGTAAAATGGTAGTGTAGTATATTATTTTTAAATTTGGTAGAGTTTGGGTCTCTTTTTCTTGATCTAAAGTAGGTTGGATGTCGACACATGAAAAGATAAATTGCTTTTTAGCATCTGAAACGTTTGTGTCAGTCTAGTATGAGTTGAAGATTTTTTGTTTTTCGTATTCTGGCAATCTTTTAAAGTATTTCATGCGACACATGCAAGGAGACTTTAACATTTTTTTAGGCATGTTTTCGACTCTTTTACTGAGATACTCTTTCATACCAGCTATTTTCCGTTTGCGAATATTACAGGACCAATTTTGTTCATTCACTACATGTGTTTTACCTTTTCGTTTGTACTTAGTTACATTTTTGTACCTTTCTTTTGACACTTTTCTCTTATTCTAACATAACTTCATTATGTTCATTTGAGTTGCCTGCATCACTGCTTAGGGATAAATCGTCCTTAAGAAGAGTTTTTTGTTATTGCCCTACTAGTCGTAGGAGTAGTAATAGCTTTCTCTTTTACCTTTGTTTTCGCTGGTTTACCTGTACGTCTCACATCATTGTCGTCTGTCGAAGAGACTCATAGGTTTTGTCAACATCCGAATCATCATCTCCAAACAAATTATCACCTTCCTTCATTTCCTTACCATTACTTTGAAAGTTACTATAGCGACCAGTCTATTGTAGTATTTTGTTCATACGAGTACATATTGGGAATTGCTTGGTAAGTTCCTATCTCTACTTACAATGCAATAACAATGCAAGTCCACATGGTGTTGTTTACCTCTGACTGAAAGTGGACTAGGTGTTTATTAAAAAGTCGGTAACTTGCCGAATTGTCTCTGGACATAGTATGGTTTACCGCTATGTAGAGCCAGAAAAGTTATATTCAAAAGTACAATAATCCCAATTTTGATAAAAATGGACATGGTGTCCTTTACTTCCGGGGTACAGAATATATATATATATATATATATATATTATATTATATATATATATATATATTATATATATATATCTAATAATGTAACAATATCTTCTTTATTTACAATACTTTTAGTTGCTCTGATAGTTTTTGTCTCTTTCTAATTATCTCTCGTTTTATTTAACATCTTTCTGTTAGGTATTGTATTTATTATTTCAAAATTTTGGTCACTTCTTTTTTAAAAAATATAAATTTGGAAGTGATGAGATGCTATAGTTTATTTTTATGAACGAGAGAGTAATTAGCATAATTTTAACTGGTATCTCCGACCACTCCATGGGCGTGCTCAAGATTAATTGAAAAATTACTTTGAATAATTGTAAAAAATAAATGAATTATTTCAGTGTTATAAAGTGTTATGTGTATGTAAACAAAAGTGACCTCTTTTATCACACACTATATTAGAACTGACTGGCCTACATTAAAAAGGGTTTTAAAAAATTCACATTTTTTTTAATTTTTAAAAATTACAAAAGAGAAAAAGAGCTTTTAAAACCGTCTAAGGTATGTTAAATAGATGAATAAAAATATTAATATAAAAATTACAGCTACTTGTTACAAATCCAAATCAGATTCAGAAGATGAACTTTCAGAACCAAGATTTATAATAACTGGCTCGATCATTTTATCAGTAATATTGTCCAGCTTCCACATTTTTTCCTCTTCTTTAATAGTGTGATTTACTGCCTTTTCCCAGTTTTCAGGTTTTACATTATTTACGGCCTCCAAAAACAACTGTTTAACATCATGATTTAAAAGTGGTATTTTTTCTTGAAACTTCACTCTTTATCTGTGCTCATACCAGTTTAATCGGGTTTAATTCACAATGATATGGTGGGGATCTAAGTACTGTCATTCCACGATTTTTGTCAATTTCATCAATTTCGTATTTTTTAAATTTTTCTTTATGAAGGGCACACAACGAATAAAGTTCCTTTCTTATAGATCCGGGATGGTACGTAATATTTTTTGAACTCAGCCAATTCTGCAAGTCTTTTTTTAACCACTTGGTTGTGGGCAGTCCTTCTATAAGTCTGGAGTGATAACTTGCATTATCCATTTCTATTACACAGTTCTTAGGAAGAAGATCTATCATTTGTTCGAACCATTCTTGAAAGACATCAGCGTTCATGTCTTCATGGTAGTCACCGGTACGAGTTGATTCAAAAGTTAATAAATCACCTTCAACAAAACCGTCTGAACTGCCAATGTGTACTATTATCAGCCTACGTCCCTTTCCTGATGGTGGGTTTAAACCAGTAGATAAGTTATTTACAAAAGCGTGCCTTTGACTTGTAACAGTTTCATCCTGCCAAAATTTATTTGGTGTATGACCCTCGTTGATCCATGTTTCATCAAGATAAAATATTTTTCTTTTTTGGTTTCTCATTTCCTTTATGGTTCTTAGAAAATGTCTTCTCCATATGACAATATCGCTTCTTTCTAATAAAATAGACTTTCTGGGATTCTTTTTCCAGCGGAAGCCTATTTCTTTTAAAAGTTTGCATAACGTACTTTGACTCATTTCTGGGTAATCCTTATCATCTCGAACTGAGACAAGAACTTTATCCAATGTTGGAAATTCTTGTCTAAAGAAGAATTCATGCACTTTCCGTCAAAGTCCTTCTTTAAAATGATATTCTATTTGAAATTTTGGTTTCCCTGGAGTATTACGTGGCATTTGAAAACTACCACATTTCTCTTCATTAATAATTCTGTAAATGGTAGATTTCCCAACACCAAGTGTACTGCTAACTAACTCAACGGTCTCATCAACACTTTCACATGAACGTTTGTCTGTAAATGATTTAAAACAATTAAGTACCAATTAAGTACCAATTTTTTGGCGTTTACACGGCACTTCCAAATTTTCCATAACACTAGTATACACAATAAACTGCACCTTGCAACTGAAGTACCTACTTTTAGTGAACTGTTAAGAATTTTGAATACGCCAGTTGGACCTTCCTACAAAATGGAAAAACCCACTATCACATTTTCTGTGGAATAAGTTTAGAAGGTAACTATCTAGTCAATTACTGTCGTAGATTCCTGGAATTAAAGAATTAAATGTTTGATTGTTGAAACCCTTACTTCGTGGGATGCACTCATTTCAGATAAAATAAAACGTTTTATTTTATCTAAAGAATTAAACTTCATTTTGCAAATAGGTAGGTACTTATTAAACTTTTATTGGTTATATATAACCAATAAAATAAACATCTTACATTTCTTGCAAATTCATTAGTACCTGTTAACCTCCATCACTCCGACACTGGCAACCTTATTTAGGGATTAGTAACCTTCACAACTATTGTATTCTATTCTGCTCCAACCTTTATACCTGGTGGTCATACTCAATTTAAAATTGTTTTCCTATATACTTCTGTAAACTTGTTGACAAATATCTGTTTTTAATTGAGTCACCCGTATCAACAGTTTAGGGATTTGCATACATAATTTATTGTTTTATTACTCTCTCATACATAAAAATACACTATAGTTGCTATAAACTGATAAGTCACTTATATGAGCTAATTCATTGCCTTGTATTGAAGAAGGTAAAGTGATATTTATATTGTAAAATTTAAAATAAACAAAATAATAAAAATGGGAGTAAATTCGAGAATATTTTAACCAGTAGTAGTATATGGTAACCTAGTTCGAACTTTATAAAGGGAATCAATAGTAAAGTACAAACATTACATATGAAATAATTCAGAAAATTTAAAGGAATAATTCAAACATCTACTCTCTTTCTCAATATCTGAATATGAATTTTTAAGTATATATCAATAATTCAAAGAAATAAGTAATAAATTGGTAATAACGATTTGAAGGTGAAATATGCATCTTATGCTCATGAAAAACAATAATTTTCATTGGTGAATCTTCTTCGTAGTATAAAAATCTTATAAAACAATCCACATGAATGAAATATAAAAAAATGGTAGTGAATAAGTGATACTGTAAAAGCATTTTTGCACACCAAAATGAACCACACAGAATCTATGCTCTGATAGGTGTATGTTTTTATTTAAAAATTCTTTTATTTATATTTTATTTAAATTCATCACTTACATTTCTTTTCTTTTCAGTTTTATACACTGATCAATTACCATGGTTTATGGCACATAGGGCTGTTGATAGCTTTGCAAAGAAATTTTTAGGTAGTCACAAGCCAGTTTATGCAGTGGTAATGGATGCTGGCAGCACAGGGTCTAGGGTTTTAGCATACTCATTTCACGAATCCTATTTTGGTAAGTGATATTACAATATTAGTTTAAATTAAGTCCATAAATTGGAAATTTGAATTTATGACATACAGATTGAACCAAATTAAAACGGAACATACAATTTAATACATGTCTGTTTGAACTGCATTTGAAATAGTGGACCAATATAAAACTTGGACAAAAATAAATCCATACCTGGTATAGACATTGTATAAAATATCGTTTAACTATCTGTCTCGCAACAAAGTTGTTTGCGTAAGACGGGTTTGTCTAAGGAAGATAGTTCAGGAAATGAAGCTCGAAAAAAGTTAAAACCTCGCAATTTTTTCGTCCTGCATGTATCCAGTTGAAATTTTAGCAAAAGGTAGGTGATAGCCCAAGGATCAAAATCTATATCGAATCTAAGTGCGCTGAAGGGTTTTAGGGGTGAAAACTACCCCTAATTGTCAAAAATTATAAAATAACATATTAAACCTGAATATGGGTAAGATTTGGTTTGAATTAGTTAAATATTTATTATTTTATACTTTTGAATAGAGTTCCATCATATTTCAACCCTTAAAAAGCAACCCTTGTTAAAGATTAATGTAAAAAAATTACTAATTCTAAAAAAATGATTTCGCCTTGGATCGATTTGAATAAAAATTTGGATTTAAGCTCAATTTACCCGCTGCTTTATAGTTTATGTCATGTCGACGAACCCTGATTGTTCTTAGGGGTGAAAACTACCCCCAATTGTCAAAAATTATAAAATAACATATTAAACCTGAATATGGGTAAAATTTGGTTTAAATTAATTAAATAATGATAGTTTCGTGCTTTTGAATAAAGTTCCATCATATTTCAACCCTTAAAAAGCGACCCTTATTAGAGATTAATATAAAAAAATTAGTAATGCGAAGAAAATGATTTCACCTTGGAATGATTTGCATAAAAATTTGGAATTAAGCTCAACTCACCCTCTGCTTTATAGTTTATGTCATGCCAATGAACCCTGATTGTTCTTAGGGGTGAAAACTACCCCTAATTTTCAAAAATTGCAAAATAATATTACAAATCTTAAGATGAGTAAAATTTGGTTTGGATTAGTTAAATAGTGATTTTTTTATACTTTAAAATACAAATTCATACATTTTCAACCCTTAAAAATCAAATGTTATAAGTGCTATAGGTGAAAACAATTTTTTGCCAAAATTTTGCAACTTTTCAAAATCACCCTTTACAACATTGCAGTTTTTATAAACTAATTTATAAGATATAAATTGAAAAAAGTAGAATTAAATACAAAAAAATTTATCAACATAAAAATGCACCATATATTCTTATGCATTTACATAAATAGTTGAAAATATTTACATTTATAGGTAAAACAATTATAATATTAATTTTATTCGTCATCAATTACATCTTCATCGTGATCTATGTCATCCTCATCTTCTTCAATTATTGGTGGACTGTTATTGCACCCTTCACGTGAGCACCCAGAACAAGTAGAGTTACAGTATAAACCAACTTTTCTGCACCCACATGAAACGCCGTATCCTTTTTTGCATTGGCAAAAAATAATTTTCAAAAGTTCATCGGGTGCAGGTTGTTTGTTCATGCGTACGGGTAATAACAAACCATCTTTGGAATACCATCCCCAATCTGTTGCTCTGATATTTTCATTGCCAAGCCCTAGACATATGAGCAGATGTTTTATTCTGTTGTATGAGATTTCAAAATAAGAACGCTTAAAATTTCGAATGTATAACGCCATACTAGCTAATATACCGGTTTTGTAGATTATTATGCTCCGAAATGTACTGTACTATACTAATGGAATTTTCCGGAAAAAATTAACTGGTTTTTTTTTAACGTATTTCCTTTAATTGTTAACGCTAGAGTGTTTCTTCAAAAACGATTTGTAGAGGTTTTTAAGAGCTACAAGGATCTGTGAATTAAATCTTTTTGGAACCCTTGGTTTTTAAATGGGTGAGTTTAAAGGGCTCGAAAAATTTGGTAAGTTTTATTTTTTTCATATATTCAGTGTTTTCGGGCATATTTAAAAAAAGAAGGGTAAAAAATATGAAATTGTAAATCGTTTCTCGCTTTAAGCTGTAGATTTTCTAAAACTAAGCATTTTAAATGGGTCAAACTTCTTGGACGTATTAACAATATATGTACAAAGGGAATTGCAGAAGGGTGAAGATCGATTTTAATTATGGGGGTGGTTAGGGTGTTGTTTTCATCGATTTTTTCGTAAAAATGAGGTATTGACCTTATTTTCATCATAACTCACTCAATTTTTGAGCTAGAGTCTTTTTTTATGATAGGTCTATTTACGCTCTTTAAAAAAGGTTTTGTGAGTTTTCTTCCAAAAATGCATCATTTTCCCGATATTTGACTTTGAATCTTTCAAATTTGGCATTTGAAGAAAACCGCTGAACATTGATAGGCCGTATTCGGTTCCTATTATATCGCAAAAATATTTTAAAAAATAAATTGTATTTGTCTTTTTAAAAGCTACAAATTTGTTCTCTACAATTTTTTGATAAAATGCACCATTTTCGAGTTATTCGCGAAAAATCGATTAAAAACGTGGATTTTTTCGTCTAAAAGTTGTTACTTTCAATCGCGAATATCTTGAAAAATATCATTTTATAAAAAAATGTATAGCACATTTTTTGTTTAGAATCACTTTTTTAATCGAAACCTGTAGTTAAAACGTAAAAAAAATTTCACCCCGGAGATGGGGTGGCAACCACCCCCTAGGCTTTGGCCATCGAGCAATAAGACAAAAGAGGGAATCTAATCCTTATGAAAAGGAGACCAAAAAAGTGGCCTCTGATGGCGGACATATCCGGAAATGCGAATGCGCGAAATTTAAATTTTCCGACACTTATCAACAGTAGCTATATAATATTTTTCAGAATGTGTCTTAGACGAGAAAGTTTTAATTAATTATTAATGATAAGAGTCTAAAATGCGACACAATTGTTAAAAAACTTCAATATAAATAAGATTTCATGTGACATTTGGGACAAACAATAACATAACCCAACTAAATTTGATGTCAAACAAGGAGAGAGACTCTCTTTCCTTGTTTAAAGTGGCCTCTAAAGATCGCACTTCCTGTCTAACAATATGTTTGCCCCCACTACCTTTACATTCCCTCTATTGTCTTTTTGCTCGATGGCTTTGGCGCACTTTGGTTCGATTAGATTTTGATCCTTAGGCTATTACCTTCTGTTAAATTGCAAGTCAATTCACGCAGCACGATAAAAAAGGCGAGGTGAAATGCTTCATTTCCTGGACTATAACTGGTTTGACAGCATAATAAAATCGTAGATTTATGTGTAGCTTTCAATTTTTATGAGTTCAGAATCCAGCAGCCCGCTGAAGTGTGGGACTTTTATAATGTAATTATTTGACAATCTTTTGTTGGCCAACCACTTACAGCAGAATTGAGCCGAAATACATTATATTCCTATGTTCCGAATTTATTTCGTTCAATCTGTATATCACAGATATGCATTGTGCTATAAATTAATGCTATAAATTAAAATTAATGAATGATGTTTGAGGTATAGGCCTACTGTACTATCAATTAGGTGTTTGAATGATTTTTACGATAAATATGTTCTTTACTTGCCTGTAAACTGTAATCTGTGGTGATTCAATACATCTTTACCAAAATGTCATATTTTAACTCTAGGTGAAGATTTAGACTGATTAAAGAAGTTGCAAAAAGTGAAACAGGGAAGAAGGATATTGCAAAAGAATTTCCTATTGCTCCTAATACAGTTCTATCATCTAGGATAATTTAAAACAAGTGATCCTCTATAAGGATAATTTAACACAAGTTATCAAGAAAAACCAAGTGCATTCAGATAAAAAACAGGATGTGGTGCTCCCGGAGTGACCGAGGAGGAAAACATAGCTTTCCTATCGTTTACTCACGGAGCGATGGTTTTTCATTTAATTTGATTCGATTTATTTTAATTAATTTTATTTTATTTTAATTTTATTTTGTTAAGAAACACGTTGGTAATGCGGCTACTACACCATGTAGTGTATGGTCGCGCGATCGTTACATTTTATCGTTTCAGTCGTTTTTATTTTTCCCTTACCTGTGCGGTCCACCGCTCCGTTCGTACCACGCGATATGAAAGCTATGCTTCCAAAAATATTCACTTGCTTTAAAGCCCTTTTAAGGCAGTGCCCTTGCTTCCATCGGTACTTTAGCCTATCCACGCTGTGATGGTCATACTCGCCTACTAGACCTATTTCTGTCCTGTCATCGTCGATTTATTGACTTTTCAACAGTAGTTTTTCTTCATCTTCGGAAGTAGAATCCAATTCTATAGTATCCGGAAACTGAAGCTGCTGAGTGAACTGCTGGGTCATGACCATCTTGTAGGATTAGCGACCCTGACAGCATGAAAAGCTGCATCACCACGACAAAGTCTGACGTTTCTCGGAGTGAATAATAGAGGGATATAATGCAGATGAGTCTAGACTGTACATGTTAAATGCCTACCATAAAAAATATTAGTTTTTTGGCTAGTTTTTGTTAAAACATTATACCTCCGGTTGAGAAAAATTAAATCTATAGTATTTGACAAATCAAAAAAAAAGGCAAGATGTTTTAGCGTAGTAAAATATTTACTGGTTAGTTACTACAATAACAAATCATGGATGAGAGGTTTTGATTTGAGGATTTGAGTCGTGGCTCCAGAAAATTGTTGGAAATGTGTCTTCGAAAAACGAAAATTGTTTTTATTTTTGGATAATTGTACTGCTCATCCAAGAGTTTTCTTTTAGCAACTAAAAAGGCAGTAAAACAAATTGTGTTTCCCCCAAACGCAACATCCGAATTATAGTATTTTGAATTATAGTATTTTGACAAAGGAATTATTCGGAAGTTCAAACTGGCACAGATTTGGGCTATGATTATACAACTACGGGAACTTTGTTAGACGAAAATTCATGGGCGTCAAATACACTATTATATACTGCTTTAGGAAGTGTGGCTTCTTGAAATGTTCAAAAATATGCGAAGATGTAACAGAAAATGAATGTATTTTGGAGGAATGAAAGACCGAAATTTTTGAGAATTTGTAGGTGCAGACTACAATTTAATTACTTCACAAAGCAATAACAGATCGAGAAAAGAGAAAATATAATACTTATCATAAAAAAAAATGACAACATAGATGACGACTACGTTGACGAATGTGTTGGAAGAGAGATGCACACTTTAGCTTATGCAATTTCGGCACCAGTAAAAGTTTGTTTGGAGACTCAAAAGTGGACAGGAAGGATAATTAGAAATATTACAGTTTTGACTTCGTAGTAGCACTTACTATTTGTAATTAAGGCCAAATTTATAATGCTGTGTTGTATTTGTTAATAATGAATCTCATAATGCGTTCTCTATTTACAATATTTTCTTAATGCCTTATGTAATAGAGATTATTTTTAGTCTTATTAATAGTTCTTCTGGTAAAGTTTGTGGTTTCTCACAATATTGGCCTACACCTGCTTTGTGATTCTCGGTATTGCTTTATCATTGTTCCTTAACTCGAAATTTTTTTATAGCCCAGTCGACAGAGATTTGATCTCAAAAAAAGACGAACAAGTTGAATTTTGCTCAGAATGTGAATTTTGGTAGTAATGTGAAAATTTAAATTGCGCGTTTTTAGGCATAATTCAAATGCCTCATATTTGTTGCCAAAATTTAAAATCGAAATTTCATGTTATAGGTTTTGAAGATTAGGCTCTCTAACAATGGAAATTCCACAGCGACTGATCCATAAATTTTATTGATCTCATGAGAATCTTAAAATTGCAAAAATCAAGCAACTTTTATTTAACATTGTTATAAAAAATGATTTCTTCATCATCATCATCACATAGCGCTACAACCCTGCGTGGGTTTTGGCTGACTGTACAACTTTTTTCCAATTTGTTCAGTCTTCCATCAACCTAGAGCCAATGGAATGTTTATTTTCCAGAGATCTGCTTGGATGTTATCTCTCCATCGCATTCTCGAACGTTCGAGTGGCTTTTTGCCTGTGGGAATCTCCTCCCATACCAGTTTTACAAGTCTTTCGTTATGCAGTCTCTGCACTTGGCCTGCCCATCTTAGTCGCTGTGATTTAATTTCTTGGACAATATCGGCGTCATTGTAGAGTGCTTTTTTTTCGTTCAAAGCACCTGAGCTTTTCTTCGTTTGCTTTGGTCATGGTCCACGTTTCGCATCTGTATGTTAATACAGGTCTGACGATGGATTTATAGATTTTGATTTTTGAACTTCTTGTAAGATTTTTTGATTTTATGAGCTTATCCAGTGCGAATAGACAGCGGTTTTCAGATTGGATTCTGTCATTTATGTCTTCAGTAACATCGTTTGTTAGCTGTGATTACGATCCCAAAAACTTAAAACGTTGTATTCTTTCGAAATTGAAGGTGTTGATCGTCACATTTTGTCCTATTCTGTCTCTTCGTGTCATTCTATTTATACACATATATTTCGTCTCCTCTTCATTAATCTTCAGCCCTACTTCACTTGTTGCTTCTTCCACCTTGTTGAAGATGTCTTTCATGGATAGGATGGAGTCTCCAGCGATATATATATATATATATATATATATATATATATATATATATATATATATATATATATATATATATATATATATATATATGTCATCTGCATATGCGAGTAACAGCTTGGGACCTTGAACCGTTAGCAATTCTGTTTTTTATTCGGTTGTCCTCATGGCTTTCTGTAATACAAGGTTAAAAAGTAGTAGAGATAACGCATCACCCTGTTTTAGTCCACTGTTGATTTCAAAGCTGCCAGACAGTTTATTATTTACACGTACTTTAGATATTCCACCTTCCATACAAACTTTGGTCATCTGAATGAGTTTATTTGGTATTGAGAACTCAGCCATGGCATTTCACTTTGGATTTACTTTGATCTTCTTTTTACACTATCATATGCCTGTCGAAAGTCTATGAAAATATTGTGTATGGGTCTGTTATACTCCCATCACTTTTTAGAAGTTGTCTCAACGTGAATAGTTGATCTATTGTTGATCTGTTTGCCCTAAAACCGGCTTGATATTCGCCTAGGACATTTTCAACATAAGGGATTAGTCTACGAAGAATGATGTTTGCGATGGTTTTATATGCCGTGTTTAGGAGTGAAATTCCTCTATAATTCGCGCATTTTGTTTTGTCCCCTTTTTTGTGGATGGACACTATTATGTTTTCCTTCCATCATGCTGGTATCCTTTCTTCTAACCATATGTGCGTTATTAGCTGGTGAATTTGGCAATGTAGTTCGGCTCCCCCATATTTCAGAAGTTCTGCTGGTATCTCGTCCGTACCCGGCGCTCTTTGATTTTTCAGCTTATTTAAGGCCTTTTGGGTTTTTTCAAAGGATAGATTTTTGACGGGTATGTCCGCTGTGATATATATCTCTTCTTTGTGCTGTTCTTCCTGTATGATGTTTAGAAGGTCCCTTTAATACTCTGATTGAATTTGCGACAAAATTACAAAATTGATTACAAAAGCAGCCCACTCTTCACCTTTAAAACGTATTTTGATTTATGTCGATAGGACACTGATCAAAATATAATGAATTTTTGATTCAACTTTTATTTAAAAAATTGATTTTGCGCGCGTAATTGACATTTAAAATCGCCGGTTGCTTGAAGCATTGTTTCTGAGAGAACAATTCATTCTACACAAAAGTGCTAATTAACATTATTGTCAAAAAATATCTTAGCTACATTTCTTTGACACATTTTTTCTACAGCGCGGAGTTCAGCTTCTTGGCAAATCGATGTTTTCCGTTCCCCTCTACGCAGGGGGAGGGTTATAGGGTGAAGCCCTAGAGTAAGAGTGAAAATTGATATTCTCGGCAAAATTTAGCTTGTTTATATGATTTTTAGAGGGTCAAAGATATTTTGGTCTCTGACGACTGGACTATTAACTGTAATTTTTCCCAAATTCCCTATAAATTAGAATTATTTATATACTGTTTATAGTTGAACACTTACAGATTGAAACCCAAATGATTAGTTTAGAATAGCAAATTATATTTGTTAGCTTCGTTATATACCTGTACTATATGGTAATATATTTTAGGAAATCATTTAATATTAGATAAGGAACTATTTGAATATACAAAACCGGGGCTATCTTCATTTGCTAAAGAACCTGAAAAAGTAAGTAAATCATATAAATATATAATAGGTTTAGAACGTCTTTCGATGTTGTCCGATACCCAATTTACTTTCTTGCCTTTTGTTCCATTGTTCTTTAGGCTCATTGACTTTCTTATTCCTTCCATCCATAATTTTTCTCCTCTCTCCTTCCTCCTTCCGTCTTCCTCTCTTCTGTCTGCGGCAGCTGTCCATTGGAGTACTTGTTTTGGAGGATAATCCGTTTGTGACTCTACAAACTTTGAGAGAGTCACAAATTTTGAAGTAATACGAAGGATAAGAAAAGACCCAGAAATTCTGTCAACAATCAAACGAAGAAAACTGGAATATTTGGGTCACCTGATGAGAGGACATAAATACGGATTACTTAAATATAATTCAAGGAAAAACAAAGGGAAACGGAATCCAGGCCGTAGAAGAATGTTATGGTTGCGTAATTTTAGAGAGTGGTTTGGCTGTACTACTAATGAACTCTTTAGGTCATCTGTAAACAAGGTCAGGATAGCCTTGATGATTTCCAATCTCCGATAGGAGTGGCACAAGAAGAAGAAGAAGGTTTTCCGTTCATTAAATCAATTTCGGTGGTTTGTATGTTTTGTTTATCTTTCTTAGTTGGCACGTTACACAGGTGTCTGCATGTTTTTTACAATAACAATACCATAAATATTACACTTTCCATCTTCGTTATGTTTTACAAAATTCCCTTAAAACATTCTACAGATTTTCTGGCTTTTATTCTTCTGGTGTTAATTTGTTGGTTGCCTGTACATTCTCGATTTTATATTGTTTCTAGCTATTTGTGTTCGTCAGAAGTTCTCTAGTACACGGTTTGCTGTGTCTGTCCCAATGATGACATAGTGGGTTCTTTCGGTGTAAGTATAAGTAACCATTTTTTGGTGTTCTTGAAATAAGTTTCCTATAATGTATTCTATATATTCCTCATCATTTGCTATGAGGAACTGGTCATGTGCACATTGAAATATATGCAGCTATTATTTAGTTATATGCCCATATCTTGTTTTATACCCATACCAGTGCTTCTGCTAAAAGTGTTATGAGACACACGCATTCTCTTTGATCTATCCATTTTTATACAACAATTCCAGGTTGCCTATTTTAATTCAAGATGTAGGCTTAACTGTTCCGGTATCAGCGTATTATTTATATTGGTGTTTGATGTACTTTCCAGTTTTTTATTGTCACTTTATGGTTCACTTTATGGTCTTTTGTAGGCTGATGATGATTATGCGAAATCCTTCTTAGAGCTTTTTAAGGGATTAAGAAGTTGTATGCTAGTTTCCATTAGTTGGTAACGGTCATCGAGCAAAAAGACAAAAGAGGGAATGTAAAGGTAGTGGGGGCAAAAATATTTTTAGACAGAAAGTGCGATCTTTAGAGGCCACTTTAAACAAGGAAAGAGAGTCTCCCTCCTTGTTTGACATCAAATTTAGTTGGGTTGTGTTATTGTTTGTCCCAAATGTCACATGAAATCTTATTTATATTGAAGTTTTTTAACAATTGTGTCGCATTTTAGACTATTACCGTTCATAATTAATTAAAACTTTATATTCTAAGACACATTCTGAAAAATATTATATAGCTACTGCTAATAAGTGTCGGAAAATTTAAATTTGGCGCATTCGCATTTCCGGATATGTCCGCCATCAGAGGCCACTTTTTTGGTCTCCTTTTCATAAGGATTAGATTCCCTTTGTCTTTTTGCTCGATGGTAACGGTATACCCATTTATACACATATTAAAAATGTTTTTGGTCAAGTGGTATAGTTTTTTGGTACCAGATTTAAGGAGTTCACACATTTTGTGGTCAGAATCAGGCATTTTTTTAATGGCGTGACCATAGATAGGGGACGCGTAATCGTATGGAATTGACTGAAGCCAAACCGGCACCAAAAAGGTTGCCAGGTCATATTTTATTTCTTCATTAGATTGAGAATAACGGATATATCAATAAATAGGTTTTTTTTTCAAAAGTATTATGTTTAATTTAATTATTGTTTTAATTTTTAAATATTTTTCTAAAAATATAAGCTAAATAGACTTTTACATTAAAATGTAAGTTTTAGAATAGCATTGTCATTCATTATGAAAAACTTATTTATTTTAATGCACTGATTTTAAAATTACTTTTAGCAAAATTGTAAACATGGTTTTGACACTGACTTTTTCGTTATAAATTAATTCGTTATTTTTTTACGACAAAAATGTGACATTTTACTAAAACCTCTGATATTTTTAAGGAAAACTCTACGTTCAAAATTGTAGTGAGCTTGATTAATATTTTAAGGAAATCACACTTTGTCTTAATATCTTGTATATAAAATTTTAATACAGGTGAAAACCAATTAAATTATAATATTATATTAATTTTAAAGTGGCGAAGCACTACAAGTTTATTGGTTAGTTTTTTTATTTATAATTGAACACTGACATCATGATCACTTTTTGAACATAATTTTATCATTACATATTTTTTAGTATATCGGTATAGTGTTTTAGTAAATCAGTAGATCTACTGAAAAATCAATAGACCTGGTAACCCTGCGAGAGATAGTAATGGGCAACGTACAGGCACCAAAACATGGCGGCCGCATCGAAACTTACTTCACTTTTCGAAGGTTTATTAAATGAGTGTTACCTGTCCTATCTCTTTCCTTGTCTAAGGGCGTGACGGATTTCCGGACGATCCCGTTTTTCCACTTTATCATTCTATACATCTATCACATACATATTAATTTTTTGACATTTTCTATTCTACAATTTATTTTTTCTCTATTGAAACTTTTATTCTGACATCGTTTTTCTTTTCGATATATTTCAGTCTTTTTTTTCTATTTTTAATCAGAACTATCTCAGATAAAACATTTTTTTTCTTAGTCTATGTGCGCTGTTTCTTTAAGTAAATAATTTTTGCCTATATTATTATTAAGAATATTCTTAATAGGAATATAGTGACAATACTCTTATTAATAATTAAGAACTCATTAACTAAGGGTTTTAGTTGCTGTTTCACTATGTCAATAAATTTTTTATATATTTAATTTATTTTCTCCATTATCCATAGTGTGCCTCTCAGTTTAGTTTATCATTTATCGAATTTCTTTTAATTCCATTATTTCCTTACTTACTTATTTAGGCTATTTTCCTTTGCCTTATTTCCTGAATATTCGCTAACAATTCCGAGTAAGCTTCTTTTGTCAGTCCCTTATATTTTTAGAAAGCAGTTTTTCTAGGATCGTATTTCATTGCTGTATCAGATTTTGTACTTTTTAATATCTTACCCAATTAATATTATAACAATAATTTTTAGGGTGCCCAAACTATAGCCAAACTTTTAGAACACGCCAAACAGGAGATTCCTGGCGAGTATTGGTCCAAAACACCCCTAGTATTAAAAGCAACGGCAGGATTGAGGATGCTACCGATCCATCAAGCAGAAAAGTTACTTGAATCGGTAAAAGCCGTATTCAAAACGATGCCGTTCATGACAAATGAAAACTCCGTAGAAATTATGGATGGTACTGACGAAGGAGTGTTTTCGTGGTTTACTGTAAATTTTTTATTGGGTAAGTTCTATTTTAATCCTTTAAACTTTTTAAACATTTTAACATTTTAAACCATTTCATAACATAAAAATAAAACAAAAGGTGTTAAAAGTATTTTTTGTAGAAAATAATGTGATTTTCAATTTTGTAGTAGGGTGTGATAAAGGGGTGTAGAGGAATAAAGAAAGGGAAAGACATACAAGAACCAGAGGGTCCAAAACTTAAACCATTTACTAATAGCACTGAGACACTGGTACCAAATTATACATTACATTTAAAACACAGTGCTATATATGTCTTACACCTTGCAAATTTGTATTTAATACATATTATATTCCGTATATTTATTACTAATATTTAACAACAATAACTCTGATGTAGACAGTGAGAATATGTTGTAGTAAGTATCTAATTGTATGGCTGAGAATTAGTAAATAGTGACCTTAAATGATTATACTAAATAGAATTGCAATATATATATATATATATATATATATATATATATATATATATATATATATATATATATATATATATATATATATATATACCCGGTATTTAGGCGGCACACGCTCTTCCGGTAGGGATCTATGGAGGAATATCACCGAGCCGCATGCTCTTCTCTCTTGCCGTACTGCTCCACCATAGGCCGATCAGATACCAGCATATTCTAGACTAAGCCGCAGATTCATTTAGATTTTAAACTGCTGCGTTAGCCTTATGGTTTTCTGTACACCGAGCTGAGCATCGAACTCACGTCTCTCGCAGTGAAGCGAATGAGGACGCGGCCGCCCAGCCAGCTTGGCTGTCTGACCGACGAGTTGCAAAATAATTGAAAAAAGATTAATAAGGCCACTAAAGAAGAATTAAGATATATGTCTAACAGTATAATTCAAAAAGAACCAGAGCATGGTTAAGTTCTGCTATGTGAAGGCCGTAAAATAATATATCGTACAGGGTACCACCCCTTTTCAATATTTATGCAATACATCTGAAAGTCGTCACTCGAACAAGTTCAGTGGGAGCCAAGATTAATGAAATCGTCGAATGATTAATGAAAATAACAATCTCTTTGTTTAATTCTTTTTATTTTGGTGCGGGTTGCTTTAAGATATTTCTAACTAGTAAAGTAAATAAAATAAATAAAATATTAATATAATTCATGAAATATTTCTCTTTTAACTATAATCCAAAATATCTCTTAAATTATTAAATATATGTACAGTCCATCTAATTTACTTACCGTACACGTCATTATCATTGACAGAAGTTGACATAGTTGCCAAACTATAAAAAAATCCTGAATCCATTTTAAATCAAATAGGTCACATAAGTATTGCAAAAGTATTACCATCTCTTTACAACGACTATTTAAATTCTTACGTGACATTTTTTAAATAAAACACACTAATTTTGTTTTAAAAAGAACAGATTTTATTAAATAGGTAAAAATATAAAACAAGTGGTATTCACTTTAAAATTCAAAATAATAAAGTACAAAAAGTGTCAACACCGCAACTGTCAAATAAGTGTTACCAATTTATGCCAAAATATCACCTTCGTTCGATTACAGTTACAGTGTGTTCTTCATAAAAACGCTTTATAATGCATTTAAACAAATTAAATGAAACATTGTGCATTTCTTTAAGTTAACATTAATAGAAATCTTTAAATATTATTTCTACGCATATATAATGAAATATGTCTAGTGGCTGCAATGCCAGTATACTCGGCAAAGTAATTTTAAAAAAAGAACACACCTACCGCCTAAATATTTCGTGTTGGTGTCATGTGACCTCACGGGCTATGACGCAGATGACGTGTAACGGTAAGTAAATTAGATGAAGTATATAGGAAATACTTAGGGCAAATTAAACTCATCGAGCAAAAAGACAGAAGAGTGAATGTAAAGGTAGTGGGGGCAAAAATATTGTTTAACGGGAAGTGCAATTTTGAGAGGACACATTAAACACGGAAAGAGAGTCTCTTTCCTTGTTTAAGAAATCAAATTTAGTTCGGTTATGTTATTGTTTGTCCCAAATGTGATATGTCTATGACTGTTCCATATTGAAGTTTTTTAACAATCATCTACAAATTATGGCTACAACAGGTCGTTGGTTTTGTATCCTTTCTCAATAATACAGGAAATTTAATTTGTTATGATTGTCATTGAAATTTGGTTATATTTTTTTAAATACCCTTTATAAAACAAAACAACTTCGTATTCTTGTAAAGAGAAGGTAAAGCGGATTTTAAATTTAAAATTAACTCCTGGGTGTTTAATAAAAAAAAAACATCTGATGCATTACAATATTATGGTAACTCCCGTATATTTTTAACTAATTTTAAAATGTGAAGTTTACAGCTACTTCCTATGGTAAAAAGTTGATTTTCGGTACTCTCGTAATCGACATGTCAGTAATTATTGTTTTAAAGCTATTTTCTAGGGGTTTCTTAAGGCAATTTACTATTTTTGTTGGGAATAAGCCAGAATTTGACTTTAAAATTAAGTTAATGTTAGTTAAAACAGGGATAAAGCCACAATTGATTGTAATTAGAATTACATTTTTGACTTGCTAAAATTTGACGTTTTGATTTCCACTCTGGAAATCGTTTTATAAAAAGATTATTTAAGAATTTTGTTGAGAGTTTTATAACCGCCAAAGTGGGGGTTATGTCTTCTCAAAAAATTGAAAATTGACTTCGCAACTTTCTCTCGGTGTCATAGGCAACAGCCATGCGTGACTGGAAATATATGAGGGTGGATTTTATGCTCTATGAAACTTCAAAAGTCTGATTATTATGTGCGCGGGTGTGCATTTGTGTGTTGTATTTGTGTGTTGCATGTGTATTGTGTATTAATGAAGACTATGTATTTCGGTGTTTCTTAATCCGCTATTGTTGGTATGCTATTTTTGCAGTGGCGGACTAAGGCTAAAGAGGGTCCTAGGCAAAATTGTAATTCCAGGCCTATTGGTCAGTTTGGTAGTTTGTTACCTAATAAATAAAATAAACATAATTTATTAAAACAAACAATATTTAAACAAATATATTCAGATTGATTAGTTATATTGGCTTTTTTTCTCACTTTTAATTCTGCATACTCAATATTTCTTCTGTCAATAAGTTTGTCATAATTAATACAGTTGTTTAATAACTATTTTCCTATATAGAGTAATGATAAATTATTAAATGTGGATCTTACAATTTTTATTATTCTGGTCAAAAGTCTTACATTGTAATACTTTATTTTTCTGTTCTGCTAGGTTTTAATCTTGTTCATAACATTTTAATTTCTCTATTGAGGAGTCACTAACATCACTATCATCAACAATTGTTTTAAATTAATTATAAGATAATAGTTTTACATCCTTCAGATCACTTTTTATATTACTTATTAAAGAATCGCATACAACAACAAAATATTAACTTAACAAAATATTTTTTGCCACTGAATTTTATTTCATTTCTTGAAATTTCATGATGAAATCTTCTTCATGTACCATGACCTTTCAGAACGTTGGTTACCGTCATAGCTATTTTAATTTTATCCACTGCCACCCTAAATAGCATGCTTGTATCTACACCACACCAGTCTCGCAAGTTCTTCAACCATGAGGTTCTTCTTCGTCCTGGACTGCGTTTGCCTGCTATTTTTCCTTGCATGATATTTTGTAGCAATCTATATTTGGGACCTCTCATTACATGTCCGAAATATTCCAGCTTTCTCTGCTTGATGCTTTTTATGATCTCAGTAGTCTTGCTGAGACGTTCTAGTAATGTGGAGTTACGAATCTTCTCCACCCAGGAAACTTTTAAAATTCTTCTATAGCACCACATTTCGAAAGCCTCAAGGCGATTTAGATCGATTTTATTCACAGTCCAGGACTCGACAGCATAAAGTAAGACCGAGAACACGTAGCAGCGAAGTAGGCGGATCCTTAATGCCAATTTTAGGTCTCTGTTACATAACACCTTGGACATCCTTCTAAAAGCAGCTCTAGCCTGCTCTATTCTGGATCTAATTTCGAGGTGATTTTCTGAATTACAATTTAATTGCTGTCCAAGGTAGACGATTTTATCAACTTGCTCAAGTTTGGTATTATTTACATATATAGACGGTTTTATATTCTGTTGTTTACTTATTACGAGTATTTTGGTTTTCCTTATGTTAAGATCCAGACCTGCCTCCCTACAACTCTCAACCACACTATCCAGTAGTGTTTGCAGATCTTCTTGACTAGAAGCTAGGAGTACTGTATCGTCCGCATATCGCAAATTATTGATGACTTCGCCGTTCACAAGTATTCCTTCTTGTTTGTCAGAAAGTGCTTTTCTGAAAATTCTTTCGGAGTAAACGTTAAAAAGCAGGGGTGACAAGAGGCATCCCTGCCGTACTCCTCTTTTAATGTTGAGAGCTTGTGATTCCACACCATCTACTAAAACTGATGTTGTTTGATTCTAATATAAATTTGCAATTATTCGAACATCTCTGCCGTCCAAGCCAATGTCTTTTAGAGCTTCGATCAATATAGAGTGCTTAACACGATCAAATGCCTTTTGAAAGTCAATAAAACAACAGTATATGTCTACAGATATATCACGACATCTTTGAGCAAGTACGTTCATTCCAAATAGTGCCTCTCTCTATCCAAATCAGTTACGGAAACCAAACTGAGTGTCATCCAGGTATTCCTCACATTTATTGTAGATACGACCATGTATTACCTTCAGAAAAATTTTCAATAAGTGGTTTAACAAACTGATGGTTCTATAATCAGCACAGGTTTTTGCTGTTGTCTTCTTAGGTAGAGCTATAAACAGTGAGTTAGACCAACCATTAGGCAGTTGTCCGCTGGTATAAATGGTATTGAAAAACGAAGTTATAGCCTCTAAAACATTGCTTGATGAAATAGTTTCATTAATATATGCAGTATCTTTCACTTTTTCAGATTCTGTTTCTAAGTGGTCAAAATCGTCTCTAACAGTTTGTATGAAATCTATCAGTGAATCATATTCGT